TTCAATTTTATGGATGTGCAATATGCGCATCCGCAGGTCACGAATAGTTGCATCCAGGCGCTCGTATCAATGTCGCTTAAAATCAGTTGTTCCGGCCTCAGTTTTTATTGATTACGTCGTCCAGGGCCGGATTAAAGGGGGTGGCCACATGGGCCGCGGCCCATAGCGGCAAAATTAGGGGGCGGCAAATTTTGCAATTTTTTTAAATGCAGATACAAAAAAATCGGATTCAGTATAAAATTACAAACAAGAAAAGGTGACAAAATCTCTCATTTCCTGAGAGTTCATTAATTTCTAATTTTGTCGTATTTCGGTGATACAAAAGACTGCGCACCTTTAATTAGTTGAGTTAAGAGAGAAACCAGACACGTAATTTGGCCTGGAGCGGCGCGGCGCAGAGAGAAATGATGACGAGGACTTGAGATGAAAAGGAGAAGCCCTCGGCGCGGCGGTCGGCATGTAACACATATTAGCGCCTACGAGACTGCATGAATACTCCACGCATTGCGTCAAACACAGTACGGTCAACAGTGGTCGGCGCGGCGTGAAACGAACAGTGCCAAGACTACATGAATACTTCACGCATTGCGCCAAACACAGTGTGGTCAGCGCGGCATGGCGGCGGAAGATAAAATTATTAAACCACATTTGGATCGCAGTTAGCAAAAAAGAACCAGCGAGATTACAGTGCTGTAAAAATGTTGCTTATTCATTATTATCTGAAAAATCTCTCAGAATAGCAAATAGTTTTGACTTCCCACCAAAAAGTGTTAATTTTGAAGGAAAATAATGGTGTGAATTTTTACAGTGTACACTTTAAAAGAAAAGGAGAAGTTGCATGATTTTGAAAACACTGTAATCGCGCTGGTTCCTTTTTGCTAAATGTAATCCATTTATGTTTGTTCTTTCTTAATTTTTTAGTTCATTTCTTACAAATGAAAGGCCTTGTCTACACAGAGATAGGTTCACGGAACTGAACTTTCGCCCGAAGTTCCATGAACTTTTGCTAGTAGTGTTGACAGGGCTCACGCAAAAAATGTGTCCAACATGAGTGAACGCGTCTTATGCACCCTTCTCCCTCCGGCACGTTCTTTTGATGGTTTTTGATGGAAAAAAACAAACACTTACACACACATCTGGCTTAGTCTGACACACAACACACAAACTTTTCCCGGAAAAACCGAAGCTTTAAACGGGGATTTGCGCGATATTACGCAGTACTAGACCATATTCTTGCTTTTTCCTCATCAACTGATCCTCCTCCCCCTGCCCTGGTTACGCCTCTGGATGAGCTTCCATTCCACGAAGGTATTGGTAAGAAAATGGTAAGGAAAAAATGGTAAACAAAGATTTTGATAAAACTGCAAAGGTAAGGCCCGCCTCTACAGGAATTAGACAAACATTGAAAAACATACATCTAAATTTACTTGCTGGCAGTCTACGCGCGATGCGACGTATGGGCAAAAGCGCCAAAAACTGAAAATCTTTTCTGAGCATCAGCGCATGGATGCCTTTAAAAATTCAGATTCCGATTTAAATGCTCTCCGTTCGTCAGATTTTTTTAATGTAAGAATTAGACGGATCTACACTCAGAGCGAGGGTGGGGTGATAGGGGAGCCTAGGGGGGGGGGGGCATCCTCTCGAAAATTTTCAAAATTGTAAAGCATCTAGCATGCGGTTTGAATCGATTTAAACGTGAAAAATTACCAAATATTAAGGTCCTCTCTTCTTCTCTCTTACGTTCCTTCCTTCTTTCTTTCTTCCAGTTTTCTTCCTCCTTTTTCTCGGGCGAACGAGAAAGGGCGCACGTCCCTTACGCCCCCCTTGGATCCGCCTATAATATAATAGGCGCATTTAGTGTAACAATTGATTTTACACGACGTTGCTAATAACCCCTAGATGCAACTATTCGTGTCCTGCAGATGCCCATATTGCATACCCGAAAAACTGAAGGCATTCTGGATTCTCCTGCGCTCGCAGGAGAAGCACGGCGAAAGAATGTTCTAAGACTTTGCACATGTTCACGATGAAAAATATTTCTTTGAGTGCCTCGAAGGAGTGCCCTTCCTTTAAAATTGATCCGCCTAGCTCAACGTTACTCATAACCTGGTGAAAAACACTCTCTTGTATGCACCGTGTTGAGGTTGTGTTAGCAGATCCGAATTTGGATAGGAGAACCAAACTCTTTGTTAATCGGTCACCAGGCGATGAGGTAGGTTATTTGTCCAGTTTCCAAGACTATTCATCAGAAGAGCGAACCTCTTTTTTCGGATAGACGAACTAGGTACTTTTGAAAGTGTACACAAACTCCTATACCAAAATCGAAGCATAGTAAAAAGAAGAAAAATATTTTCAGTGTATGCACAGCGCTCAGTGTCACCGATTTAGCTCTCGGATTCTTCGACTTAATTACGGGAGAGCTGGCCATATTTTCCGATCAGGCAAATAAAATAATAAAGCAACCTGCATCTCTAAAACGAAAGAGCTTGTTCAACGGAACCTTTTTGTCCGAGTGCGCCTTTGCAGAGTCCTGTAGAGCTATCAAAGGCTCTTCATGGCGGAATTTCGGTGAAGTATTTTTCAGTTGGGCGAATTGAGTATCTAATATCGTGCACTATTTACACCGAATCATTGATCTGTAGACAAATGTTCTCCGCACCCCATTTTGTGACCATATTGTGCATCAGTGTACATTATTCTAGCAATGAAGTAAAAGAAGATGAGCACTGGAAAAAAACACATTGGATCTAGAGTCCAGACTCTTGAAAACATTGACAAGAAAAAAATACTCTTGATTCAATCAGAATCTAGCTTAAATCAAAAGGAAATCCGCTCAAATTAAGAGGTTTGGTTCTTGATTAAAGCAAAAATCCGATTGAATCAAGAGTATTTTTTCTTGTCGATGTTTTTAAGAGTCTGGACTCTAGATCCAATGAGGTTTTTTTCCCTGTGAGGGCAATTCAACTGTGCCAGATAATTTAAGTGACATTCCATGAAACTCACGCGAATTAGAAAATATCTTTTTGGTACATGTATACTTTGACCATCCGCGCGAAGGACAGAATTGGGGGGGGGGGGCTGGCCTCTCTTAAGAAATATGAGGGATTTTGGTACATGAGTGCTACCCAGATCAGCTACCCGGTAAATCTGGGACGCCGAGTGAAAGTAATAGTAAGTAGTAGTAGTAAGTAGTAAAGTAGTAGTAGGCAGCCTCCGGGCCACCATTATACCCTACACGGATCCCAAAGAGGTTCTTGCACTAAAACCCGATCAATAGAGCAGCAGCGTGGATCAGCGAGTGATACGGTTGCTTCATCTTCTAGATTCAGAGTGTCGACGCTCTAAAAACGCCTTCAACGGGTAAAGATACTTCCTAGCTTGGCTTTGGAGGCCGAATAGTTGCATCCTTTAAAGACAGCGCAGCAGCGTGGATCAGCGAGTGGTGCGGTTGCTTCATTTAAAAAACGCCTTCAACGAGGAATGATACTTTCCAGCGTGGCCTTAAAGGTCGAATAGCTGCATATTTCAAAAACCCAACCAACAGAGTTGCAGACACTGGCGGATCCAGCAAATCGGCAACATGGTTTTCCTCCATTTAAACCAATGGAAATACATCGATTCTTGGATGGACCGGGTGCTCCGACAATAATCGATTATTTTACATAAGTTTAAATGGAGGAAACCCGGTGTTGCCAAATTGCTGGATTCGCTTCTGGTTGCAGATACCGTCGAAGAGCTTCTTATAACCGTAAAAACTAGCCCGAAAGGGCGCGACTTCCAATCGGTGATAGGTCAAAATGTCCAAACAAAAATGTCCAAAAGTCAAAATGTCCAAACCCTGAATGCCCGAAAATCTAGAAAGGCCAAATGGACCGAGTTTAACAGAAAGGAACCAAGCCACATCAGCTATTGCCAATTTGAACTGGGCAATTAATTTTTTTACGAGAGAGCGTTTGTTCGGATTTCTTTGAAAATTTTAAGGAATTTGCTTCGTACCATGGAAAATTTTCACTGAAAACACAAAAATCCGCACAACCGTTTTCATGTAAAAAATTAAATTGCCCAATTAAATTTGGCAATGGCTGATGTGGCTTGGTTCCTTTCTGTTTAACGCGGTCCAAATATCAATAATATCCAGCAGACAAATAAGTCCAAAAGTAGGTGAATGTCCAAATTAAGTTGTTATAGACAGGAATAATTTTTTTTTTTTGGCTTTTCATGACAAACGAGTTAATATTAGCCACGTTTGTTATGTTTGTCAAAATCACTCAAAATTTGAAAAATAAGTCACAATGCATTTTTGGAAGTAAGAATTTGCCTGCTCTCATGAAAAATTTTATCACCATATTTTCCTGACCTGCATCTCTCCATTATCCGACGCATCTGTTTCTATGGCTGCATTCACAAACAGCTTGCCAACCTGCACCCAAAAATCCAATGACAGCTCAACCGATGCCTTATCTCACATTTGGACATTTGCCTACTTCTGGACTTATTTGTCTGTTGGACATTACTGATATTTGGCCTTTTTGGATTTTTGGACATTCAGGGTTTGGAAATTTTGACTTTCGGACATTTTCTTTGGACATTTTGACCTATCACCCTTCCAATCGCGCCAAATGTGAGTTTTCTTGTGCACCTGGCGCACTAAAAATCCCGAGTGAAAGTAACGGGGAGCCTCCGGGGGAAACGGGGGATGTGAGCTGGAGCTGGGAGGCAGGGCCGGCGGGTGGGCGTGCGAATTCGGACGGAGTCGGAGCGAAAATTGATTAGCATTTATGTGTGAGCGACTCGGGCGACGGAGCGATAAAACTGATGATCGATAGTATCGCTTGTTTACAACGAGATGCGGAGCCGGCGGAGGACCCCGCGGTCGCCATGGCTACGACGCGACGGCCCGGCCGAGCCGCGGCGGGGCGCGCATGTCGCCCGCCGCGCCGCGTCCCTCCACCCACGTCGCCACCCCCACCGCGGAACCTCCTCGCGCCCGCGGTGAGTGTCTGGCCCCAAGTCGATAGCTGGCCCAAACGCTTTTCGCACCTGCTAGCTCCGGCTCCGCGCCCTCGCCCTCGTATGGGTACAGCCTCGCAGCAGCCCCGAGTCCCGAGTCCGTGTCCTCAGCACCCGCGCCTCTCGACCTCTCGCGCCCCTTGAATGTGCTCCTGGTTCCTCGCCCGAATGCCGCGCTTCGCCCCGGCGGCCCCGGGCCAGCCGCCCGTCTCCTTCTGATGCCCATGTCGGGAGTGCTCGAGGCCCGATCTCCCTCTCACCGCCGTCTTCGTCTCCCTGGCCCCGGGCCTGGCCGCCATCGCCCATGCCATGGACCCGCTAACTCCGTGATCCTCCCGCCCAGGTGTCGCAACTTATATGAGGAGCGCGTCGAGACTTAACTTTCTGCGTACTGATAGGTAAGCATCCAATATCTCATATTAGTCCACAAACAGTGACCCCTAGATTAACCTAGCCCATATATCAATTGCATAGTTCAGTACTGCCGTGCTAAGGAAGAACGTCGTATGAAAATTCGAGAGTTGCCAAATTTCTCTGGATAAAACATGTATTTTTTAGGAAAATTATGCATATTTCTCCGGGAAATTTTCGGATATGTTAGATCAAGTTGCAAACAAAATTATCTGAAAAATTGGGGTTGAAGTACTCGACATTTTCCAGTAAATTCAGTTTTTAGTAAAGCACATTTGGCAACGTCTAAAGGCTCATATGGCGTTTTCCCTTAGCACTGCAGTGGGGACAAACATCAGGTCCGACTCAACTCACTGCGCAGTGATAGGTGACACGCTTTACCTCGTACTAACCAGAAGGAAGTAATCCCTGGACTAACCTAGCTCATAAATCCATATTGTATATTTTACTGATAGATGCAAGAATCACGTCGAGACCCAACTTTCTATACACTGATAGGGAAGGACCCACTATCTTAATACAGCTGGACTCAGTTTGACCCAAAGAAAGGAATTACTGCTCGACTAACCCAGCTCACGTATCAATTGTGTAGTTCAGAAACGCTACATCTAATTTTTTAGGAAAACGGTCTTTTGGACCCACCCAGTTCAACGTCCGTCATTAGGAATTTTAACAGGAAAAGCGCGTATAGAAACTATAGTCACTTCTGCATGCAGGTGATTACTTCTACTCCTCTCCTACACTCGAGCACTTATTCTCGACTGCTCGTCGAGTCTGATCGGAAAGGATGGGGGACAGATCTCCAGAAAAGTGGAGGTGGTGTGTTTTCGATCTATGCTTCAAATGAGTCCACGACAGTTGCACTTGCCTCTATGCTCGAAATCAGCATCCAATCAGCTTTCGTCCTTAGTGCATAATTCCTTTTGATAAAATTATTTTGCACGTAGTTACTTTCAGCATAATTGTGACCAGATGTAGGCCTGAATACGACGAATTGCCACCTTACTGGGAATTAAATATGTTTTTAGCCTGCAATCATAGCAACCTTGCGCAGGCAATTAACCCTAAATCTGCGCACTTCCTGGGAGGAGGCGCAGACGGCGCGGCGCCCAATGAGAGGGGGAGGGGGAGGGATGCAATTGAATTAGAAATGCTAAAGTCCTCGATTTCTAAAGGCCGATGTAGAAACCGTATTCACACAGTTCATATGACCGAACTTCTTCCCTCCGTGAAGAACGCCAGGCAGCTGTATAAATCTGTGTATGTGTTCGTGCCCAGAATATAACACAAAGCACATGTGAACTTTTTCTTAACTTAACGATTATTAACTCAACTTTGAGAAATTTTAATGAGCTTAAAAATTTAGCTTAAAAAAAACCAATGGCTCTATATCGTTTTTCTCGCAAAATTTTATGTAAGAAACGCATAGTAACCTCCTTTAGATGGGAGACAATCTATTGGACGACGCTAAGGAGTAAATCTGTCCTTGAAAGTCCATTCATAAGTAAATTTTCCATAATTTCCTACGATGACATGCATTTCCCAACGCTTCCTAATCTGAAGATAGCTGTCGGTTGTCATCTACCCGGAAAAATCATACTGCCTCTGAAAAATGATACATGTTCAAAAACGCAACACTCCGAGGAAATGTAGAGGTGAGCGCTTTCGATGGTCTGACACATTCCCATCAATAGATCCGATGTATCACAGGTCGCCAATGACACGTGTGCTATGTAGAGGATAAAATCATTACTCATTTTTTGACACACGTCGGCTGACAAGGAAGTTTTAGATGCCGCTGTCCTCAAGGAGGAAACGATCAGTTAGTAAGAACTCTTAAGTGCTGGGGTATAGCAGCACCCGTTCTGACATGCGGATCAGCTTACATCATGAAAATGAAGGTTATGCTTATCGATGTGGTTTTAGGGAAGATGTAGTAAGTGTAGCACGCTGGACGTGACATACGCAGACTAAGTTGGTAGAATTATATAGGTAAAGGAATTTTCTACGTTTATTAAAATTAAACGTATGTAGCAAAAGGAAACTCTGGGGGAAAAGGATTTTCTGGTTCATGGATTTGCCTGTCGTAGTTAATTGGCAGGATTGATCAAATTTCGCAGTTCGAAACTACAATTCCTGGCCCATCTGTTAAAACCAAGTAAAAACACTTAAGAGCATAGGGAAACTAATTGCACATACGTTGTTCCTAAACTGATCCAGAAATTGTAGTTCCAAATTGCAAAATCTAGTCCAATTCTCTGGGAGGACTACTGATAATTGGACTACATTTTGCAATTCAGAACTATAAATTTCGGCCCGGGTTAAAAACAATGTATGTGCCATTAGTTTCTCTATGCACATAAGTGTTTTTTTCAGATGAGTTAGAATTTATAGCTACAAATTGCAAAATGCAGTCCAATTGGATTACATTTTGCAAGAAGGAACCACAATCTCTGGCTCCTCCATAAAAACACCTTTCTGCATAGGGAAACCGATGATTCATATGATGCTTCTGTAATGAGCCAGAAGTAGCGGTTTTTATTGTAAAAATTGGTCAAATTCATGTTCACATGGTTCCTTTCATGTGAGCTACATTCCACTGCACGGCAACTTTGCCCGGAAATACGGCAAATCGGCAGGAAATATAAGGATTTGTAAAGTGAGCGCAGTCAATTCTGAAACTTCGTTAGAGCGTAGATTTTGGTTTGACTTCGTTCTGAAGTCAAGAAAAAGCGATGAAAATGCAACCTCTTGTCAGTTTGAGTTCTCCCGGTGGTGTAGGTAATTGGATTTGCGCCATTCGTAAAATTAGACGGGCGCATTCAACATGATGCTTCACTTTTGAAATTTCATAATTGAGTGCTGACACAAATGATTTGCGCGTTGACAAATGAGAAATGAAGATTATCTGCACTTTTGCCAAACAAAACACAGCTCGTAAGCGATGATCCTGGAACTCTTCACGACAGGTTACACTCGTGGCTAGCTTCACTCACGGCATTTTTCCATACAGTCTTGAGAGTGGTGGGAATATTTTACCTGTCCACTGTACAAAAAAACCAGCAAGAGAAAAGAAAATCTGACAGGCGCAATTATATCGCATTTTTCCATTTACCATAAAAAACATTGAGTTGGCTGCGCCGCGTAGTTTCACCGTCGATGCGTCATTGAAACACAATTATCGAACATTAATTCTCAAAATATAAAGGACTCTCTGGGACAGAGGCGATAAAGTATTCCGTAAGATACTCAAGTAAAAAGCCTGTCATACTAGGTTTTAATGATGGGTATAAGGGGAAGAGGGCCATGCTCTGGCTTAAGCAATCTTCCCTTTTCAAAAAAAGAAATTTTAAAATAGAATTCCGGTCAAAATACATTTGCAATTATTTTTCAGACCTTCTCCATTGATTTTTGAAATATGGGTGGGGGAGGGGGTCAGACGAGTTGTATGAGATTTGAAAGGAGGGTGAGAAGCTGTCTCACGAGTGTCATATAAGAGGGAGGGGCACCGGGGCAGTGCTCCAATTTCCCGGAACTAGTGCCGAATTCCAGAACTTTTGAGATTTTCCTGAATTTTTCACAAAACTTTTAAAATTCCCGAAATGTTCCGGATTTTTTGCATGTTCCGAAACTTTCTCGGAAATTTTGAAACAATCCGAAAAAAATCCCGGAACGTATGACTGCCATGGAGTGGGAGAAGTTGGAACCAAAAAGTTTCGAGCCCCGGAATTTTTGATGGACATGGAATGGGAGCACCNGGGGGGGGGGGGGGCTTCAAAAAGTCGGCTAAAATATCTCACATGACTATCTCATCATGATTTAACGGCCCCGAAACAGTAATCATCAACTCGAACGCATGAGTCCAGTGCTCGCCGAGCAGATCTCATTCTCGTCTGTTCGCTTTTCTCTGAAGAACACGTTTGACACATTTTCTCGAGGCGTGCAGCGTGTGTGGGATGCGGGAGCAGTGCGGGACGCGGGGCCGCACGCCGCGGGAAACTCTCACCTCTTGGTCGCGGTTATTTATACAAGTTCTCAAGCGGAGCATAATCAAAGTCAAAGCCTCGATCCGGGCACTGCACCGCAATAAGTCGCACCGCGAGCTCCCAGAAAAAAGGTCTCGCGCGTCGGGCGTCGGGCTCCAAAGGCGCCGTAATTACGGACCGGGATCCCAGTTGCCGCACCGCCCGCCAGAGGGCGCCGCTCGCCGCCGCACCCTGGAGCTAGACCTCCAGGGAAATCGGACTTGAAAAGGATTGCATTTTGCAATTTGGAACTATAAATTCTAGCCCGGTTTAAAAACAACGCATGTGTCATTAGTTTCTCTATGCACATACGTGTTTTTTCAGATGAGCCAGAATTTATAGCTCCAACTTGCAAAATGCAGTCCAAATTGGACTGCGCTAAGCAGAAAGGGACCAAGCCACATTAGATATTGTCAAATTTGATTGGGAAATTTAATTTTTTACATGAAAACGGTGTAAATTTTTGTGAAAATTTCTCTCAATTTTCTGCATAGTACGAAGCAAATTCCTTAAAATTTTCGAAGGAATCCGCACAAACGCTCTCGCGCACAAAATGTAATTGCCCAGTTAAATTTGACAATAGCTGATGTGGCTCGGCTCTTTTCTGCTTAACTCGATCCAAGTCATAAAATTAACGCGTAATGCATAACGCCTGAGACGTAAAGCGTCCCGGGGGTTGAACTGCGAAGCGGTCAGGGAGCGCAGTCCCCTAATATGAGGATAAAGTCGTAAAAGCAAGAGAAAACAGGAAAATAAATGAAGATTGGTACCACCAGGAAATTTTGGCTGACTATCAAGTTGATTTGGCATTTTTAAGAAAGTTGCCGTTTCCTATTGAAGCAGGAGTGGAGTCAGGTATCGCGAAGTAGAGAGCAATGCACAAGTTGTCGTTCCTCTGACGTAAAGGCGTATACCGATTCCCGCATGAGCCACAGAAAGCATGGATTTATACGTAAAACAGG